TCTACATAAAGCTTACGATAGAAAACTACAATAATAGAAACAAAGACAAGTATTGACTTTAACTGTGTCTGAAGATACAAAAATATAAAATAATGCGTGTAATAAGCATGTAAAACAAATTAAATATGGTAGTAATATATGGTGCTTCAAAACTATGTAATCGTGAATACATAGGTGACACATAGAGTCTATAGAGATAATAATTCATTAACGAAGGACGTCAGTGGTGGCGGAAATATACAGTACAGGTGGTTTTAAATTTTAAGGCGGTTAATACAACGGACGGTAACTTGTCTTTTGAATATTCTATGATCACGGTAACGGTTTAACATTCTTGAAATACATATTTTATATAATCAGAGTGATAAACGAGCACATATTCCCTTTGATAGTTGGTGGATGCCCATGACATCTTCATCCATCATCGATTAAGCATTAAAATGCAGATGCCTCGTTTCTAGTAAAAAGGGTATCTAGTTCTCGGCATTCACAAACACAGCAGCATTAAGCGACTAATTTATGTTGTGTGAGAGCGCGGTTCTTCCCCGGTCGTGCCAACGTATTAGTGCTATAGCTGTAGCAAGGTATTAGTAGCTTTGCAAAAGTGGTTTTCAAAGTTTTGGTGATGATGGACGATTTGATTGATTTTTATTTTGCCTCGAACCACTAACTTTTAAATATTATTATAAATTAGAGATTAATTTTATTCAAATTTTAGTTTTCTCAAATTAAATTCGATTAATTCATCAATTGAATTAAATTAGCGCTCGATGTAAATTTCTCAGTACGCAAGCAAACCGGGTTCGATCCCCGCCGAATGAAATTGTTAATTGCAATTTTAAATGCTGATTTACTACGTGCTCGGTGGTGAAGGAAAACATCGTCGGAAAACCTGCATGTCTGAGAAATAAACAAAAAATATGTCGAAGACATGTGAAGTTCCGGCAACACGCATGGGGGCAACGCGGCGAACACTTCTTAGACCTAAAACCCTCTCAGAAATGAGGGGAGGCCTGTGCCCAGCAGTAGTAGAACGTATATAGGCTGTAACTTTACATTGTTATCTCAATTGAACGTATAAGTGCGTGGCGTTGTTGTACGCCCCTTAGTTTAATGTAGTTTATATTGTAAACAGTAACGGCAGTGCACACCACAAAAATCCCCAAAAATGTCCAAAATTGTACGTTCGTGGACCACTTTGGATGCCTGCAGGGACCACAGGTAAGAACCACTGCTCTAATACGTATTTCTATATATAAATCTCATAAAGAGCACTATTCGTTGTGGGTACATTAATATTTTGATTGAATGAATTAATTCAAATTTTCCTTTTAAAATTTTGAGGCGAACTGGTCGAAGGCAAGTCTAATGGAAAGCGGTTACACTAGTTGGTGGCGCCAGAGAGTGATTTTTAAATTAAACTTCCGTGTTTAAAACGCAATACGCTCGTTTGGTAATTGTGTTCATTTAAAAATAGAAGTAACTGAAATGGAATTACAAATAAAAGTAAAAAAAATTAAAAAAATTTAAGCCATTACTTGTGAAAGCTTTAACGCAAAAATGAATTAAAAATATCATAGAATTATATAACCCTAAATGTAACTTTGTTTGTGGTGAGGAAGTAAACGTTATTATTTTATTATATATGATGCCATAGTTGCCACGCTTGGCAAACGTAGTTTTTATGAGTTATATTAGTAGTAGTTGTAGCACGAATGGGTCGGCTCGACCGGGGAACGACCACGCTCTCACAGAATACTAGCAGCTTAACGCTGCTATGTTTCGTATGGTGAGTGTAGAGAGTCGGACACCCTTCTTACTGCAATAGGAGGCATTTCATCTTAGTCCTCATGGGTAACAACGCATCTACATTTTGATTCGTAATCGAGGATAGATCTAGATGTCTATGGACTACAGAAACCACTCACCATTCATGTGTACTGTGTGACAGATATCGTGATAAATATTTTGTTTTTAATATATGTAAATTAAATGCTTAAAAAGTTGTTCGTCAAACTAGCCTTTTAGGGTATAAGACCCAAATTAATATAACAAAGAAAGTTCAGTGGGCACATACTTATCAAATTCAGGCGCACACGGCCGATCTTGCTCCAAGCACAAACCGGTTCTGAACCGAGATTTAACCAAGCCGTATGAAGATATTAGCATTGAATTAAAACGTTTACCGACCTCGTTTACTTTTGCATGACAATATCATTTCGAATATACGATTAATGAGTTTCGAAGGGTTCGTATTTGAGGAATGCATAAGAAAAAAACAAACACTCACGCCTGTCATCCAGAGGGGTAGGCAGAGACTATAGACTTCCATTTGGCACGATCCTGACACACCTCTCTCGCCTCCTTCACATCCATATACCTACGCATACATGCTCGTCGGTTAAGGGTACTCCTAATTTGGACTCCTTTAAACTCAATCAGTTATTTATAAACGATTTTTTTTATCTGACTATAATAGTTTTGTTAGTCTTTGCTTTTATACTTTCAATCAATAACTGGAAATTCAATATAGTAAAACCTTTGAGTATTCAACCAACGATAATACATAAGTAGTTTTTATACGTGGTAGAGCCATGCTGCAGTTATATTAGTAGTATAGTTGTAGCACGAATGGGTCGGCTCGACCGGGGAAGGACCACGCTCTCACAGAATACCAGCGTAAAATAGTAGCTTAATGCTGACGTGTTTCGTATGGTGAGTGTAGAGAACCGGTGACCCTTTTTACTGGAAACCGAGTCATTCCATCTTAGTCCTCAAGGGTGACAACGTATCTTCATTTTGATTCGTAATCGAGGATAGATGTAGATGTCTATGGGCCACAGCAACCACTTACCATCAGGTGGACTGTGTGCTCGTTTGTCACCATATCCTATAAAAAAAGTAAAATAAAATAACTACTTTGAGTCGTTTTCAACAGGACTAGTAGGATTAGGCAGAGCTTTTTTAATACAGTAAGTATATAGGTATCACCAAATACTTCTTTTGTAATTAGTAATATATATGTTTATGTATCACATAATATGTAATAAATATTTTTATGGGTCTGTCAATGATGGTGTAACTTCTGAAGTCTGAACGACTTCAGGTCTGAGGTATCCCCCAACAAGCTTTCGGCTGACCTGAACTGCCTCCTTCTTGTAATCTGCCTTAATTAGGCACACTTCTAAGGGGCTACTCGCCGCTTGCGCCCTCCTTCTCCCAAAGAGGGTCGCATTCGTTTACGGATCTCTCGTCAGATCATGAAGCCAATCCCAAAAGGTGGTGTTTAGTGGATAAAAGTCACATAACCATGCAGCCGGCTGCGTGGTGTTTAGTGGGTAAAAGTCTCCACATAACCATGCAGGCGGCTGCGTGGTGTTTAGTGGGTAAAAGTCTCCACATAACCACGCAGCCGGCTGCTATGAGCTATGCTATAAGCCGCATTCACCACCTCCCTCCCCCGCTACCGGAGGGTTGACCTTATTTCCTTCGGGCGCAAAAAAAGTCTGAGGTGCAATATTGTCACAGTGACGATTTACCGATACTAGGAGCCAAAGGTGGCGTTATAGTATATAAAAAAATAAAATAAAGTTATAGGCCAAAATTACTCATAGCTCGCAACATATTTATTATTATGTTGGTTAAGTGCCAAAAAAGTAATAAAATCTGACCTGACAGGTGGCTTTGTGGTCGAGCATCTAATTAATAAATTTTATATTTATTTTGTCACTTACAGGAAAGGGTAGAACCACGTCTGCCGGGCAAGTTGTAAAATATGGTAATATTTGACATAGCCCAGATCAGAGAGCAGTGTAGGTATACGAGAAAGATGCACCTCTGGCTGAACTGTACTCTGAGGCCTATAACAGTAAACTTGTGATGGGCTGTAAAGCTGTAATGATGATGATGATGAATATAAAATTTAAATACTTTAAATCTCATACACTATCTTGAAAATGTGTGTATAATTTCCAAACATTATATATCAATTCGATTATAGGTAATATTGTATTAGTTTAATATAATATTAATGTTGCATTCATTCAATTATAGCCAATAAAACACGATGATCTACGCATAGCCAGCTCGATTCAAGTGGGCGGATCACGATCGTGAGTCAGTACCGTGAGAAATAAGTTGGCCTGCCACCGTGATTCATGTCCACAGCCATCTCGAAGTTCCCCGCCCTAAACTTGGAAACTGGCCAGTGCCTAAAATCAGACTGCGGTGCCCCGCCGAGCACTCCATAACTTTTATCGCATTAACTTTCGACGTGACGCTGTCCCTCCAGATGCGACATAATCGCCGTCTTGATTCTAGATAAGCACAAATGAATATGTAAACGCCGTCCTCCCACGGCCCGACGCTTATTATTGCCCCCGACCCCATAAAACGTAAATGGCCTAATTAATATTTGTTTATTCGCGTCCGTTAGCCCGCCTGGGCCTAAGTACGCCGGCCGCGCTGATTAATGCTCCCAGCCTGCCTCCGAGCCTACGTGCACAGCCGACCGAAGAATCCGGTTGTGTAATTCCCTATGTTTATAACGGGACTTCCAGTTATGGTAATGTTAGCCGAATTTCACGAGCCGTTTCGACGTAGTTTTGAAAGTAGAATTTAATTACGAAGGAAGGCTGACGCTCATGGAATATGGATGCGGAGCGGGCTCGTATAAAACGAAATCCGATTAATTATGTCGATTTCCTACCGGTCCGTGTCGGTGAGTCGTAACGAGTTTTGCGGTCAAGCGTCGCCAGCGATCCGTTCGTGAGAATCGATCGATCGAATAATTGGTATCGCGGACGCAGTGACCGAGTGGCCAGTCCGCGGCGTGGGACATACATGCCCGTTCCAATATCCGAAGCCCTTATCTCACCCGACGCATGAATAATTCCCGAGAGGAGCAGCTATCGATCGCACACGTCGTTTTTATTTATACGGCGCGGGTGGGCGAGGCGCGTATTAGTAAACAGGCGCCTGCGCGTAGCGCGCACACTCACCGACTTGTAGCACGTTCTCCACGCAGCCGGCCTCGAGGAGCTTGAGGCCGCGGCAGAAGGCGATGTTCCGGTGGTCGTCGGGCGGCGCCCGCGCCAGCGACGAGTACATGCATATGTCGCGCTCGTCCCGCGGGAACGACCAGTACACGACGCGCCGCTGCACGGGCTCCGGGATGCGTTCATAGCGTTCCTCGATGCGTTGGAAGGGGATCGCAGCGGCGACGATCTTCGCGGTGATGTCCAGCAGGGTCGGCGGGGCGCGCGGCCGACAGCAAGCGCGCGGCGCGCACGCAGACATGGCGCTCGCTCAGCCGCTCGGCGCGGACTGACGTGCGGCGTGCGCTCGCCGCCCCCCGCCTTCTCTTTCATACCGCGTCCCTCTCGAGGATGCGCGCCCCGAATCGACACACTACAATAAATTATTCATTTGGCAGGCATAATGTGCGATATATTATTAAAAGTTGGCATTTAAGTATTATTCTCCGATGAGTCCAAAATCGATGCTGGTGCCGAATTCAGCCGAATATCATTTATGCATGAAGTCTGATTGCCCCGACTCGGATGTTGGATGAATATTACATCATTTTTACTAAAAATTATTTTCTGTATAAACCTAAACGACATTTTAGTTGTATTCGAATTATCAGCAAAAATTTTTTAACGTAATACTATATTTGTTATTTTATTACAATATATATTTCCGACTAACGACATGAGAGTTGGCAATAGCAATAAGAAATAAAAAATTATGAGCAAAAAATGGACCTTCCTAATCCATTCGTGCCTCGCCTCCTCACATTACACAAACGAAGGGGAAAGGCCGGGGGCGGGGCGCGGGGGCACATTAACAGCTGACGGCTGAGGCGCGGTGGGACGCGGAGGGGTGCAGTGGGGCGAGGTGCGACGTCAGGTGTCGAGCAACTCAGCTGAGATTCAATGCGACAGCGCTAAAGCCGCTGACGGCGCTCTACGTACGTTGACCTTTATTTGTTTATATTTTTTTCTGCTTTTGTCTTGAAAGCACAGGTAGATTTTGTTGTTGGTGTATTTGCAGGTAGAAATTTTGTCAAATTTACGCTTTATTTTAAAGACTATTTACGAGAAAAGAATTTATCTTATGAATATGAATTGACTTTACCTATAAATATTTTTTATTAAGTACGAGAATATCTTCTGAACGCAAAAAATACAGCTCACTCATGCCATTAAATTGTATTTAAACGCTGAATTACACACTTTTGGTACCTACTACTGCAATTAAAAACCAAACTCATTATTTGCTTCTCGTTTAAAAGTTCCCGTTCTACCGGTTTATCGTGTGCTTATCATTGTCGGTACGACCAGTGTATATATTATGTAAACCTAGCTATTATTATAACATTACTTTAACATGTAAGTAATATTGTATCTCATTATAAATGTATTCATTTTAGATTTAGATATAAGTTGTAGCACGAATGGGTCAGTTCAACCGGGACCACGCTCTCACAGAATACCGGGGTAAAATAATGCTGTTGTGTTTCATATGGTGAGTGTAGGAACCGGAAGCCCGTTTTTACTGGAAACGAGGCATTCCATCCTAGTCCTCAGGGGTGACGACACATCTGCATTTTGATTCTTAATCGAGGATAATTGTAGATGTCTATGTGTCACATCTTCCACTTACCATCAGGTGGACTGTGTGCTCGTTTGTCACCCTTATTCTATAAAAAAGATAGAAAATAACTTATTGTTTTAGTCAATTTATTTATAAAGCTAATAATAGTTCCCTGACATTATTACTAATTATTATTGCTTATCTATTAAGGTCATAGACTAAAAAGAAATACTAATTCGTGCATAATAACGTATTTTTAATCAAACTCCATCTTAAATTGTTCTAATTCTAAATTTAAAAACTTGAAATAATAATAAATGGCCACGAGAAGTAGTAGCAAGCGCTGTAAGCGCTACAAGCTTCGAATATCTATGTCTCGGGCGGAGACCGAGGAAATCCCGACAGCCAGTGAATATACCTACTACGATGCTACCTACGTTCAGTTATACATAATATTATATAGTAAATTACGTGTAAGCAGACAGCTGATCGCTATTAAAAGTGAAATTATTTTTTTTAACAAGGTTACAAGATGTTTTTACCTATTTATTGTTTGCGCGGTAATAGTAACACTGGCCACTTAATTGTGATCGCTCTGATTACTTACAAGTAATTAATCAAACTATGGTAGTTTACAAAGCTGTGAACTGTTAAAGTCGCCGTGTAGAAGCGGCGTATAAATATCCACTACCCTGTTTTCCTGTGGGGTGTCCGAGGCGACAGAGGAAAACGAAATAGGAGATGGGCATCTTCCTGACAACAAAAAATATCCGCAGCTGCCAAGCCGCCTGCCAAGTAATGCCTGGCAACGTTTTTTTAATAGAATGTTGGTGGTAAATGAGTACACAGTCCACCTGATGGATAGTGGATGCTGTGGCCCATAGACATCTACATTTACTTATCTTCGATTAAGAATCAAAATGCAGATGCGTTGTTAACCCTGAGGACTACAATGGAATGCCTCTTTTCCAGTAAAAGGAGTCTCCAGTTCTCTTCAATCATCATACGAAACATAGCAGTATTAAGCTGCTATTTTACGCTGGTACACTGTGAGAGCTGAGAGCGTGGTCCTTTCCCGGTCGAGCGAACCCATTCGTGGTACAATCGTAATATAGGTGCAGCGTGGCTCTACCACGTAAGAATGTGAAAATAATGATATAAGAACCTCGTTAATTTATTAACAGTAGATACACCGAACCTGATTCCGACCAACTGCCAGGGCTAGAGGAGAGAAAAAGAGGCTGTTGTGTAGAAAAAAAGCCATGCCACCTGCACAACCTAAGGTGTTTGGCAAAATAAATCTTCTTGTATAATAAATATCTTTAAAAAATCCAATCACACAATCACGTTACCTAGTTTTGTCACTTTAAAAAATATTTTTGAAGAACTTCTTTAGCCACTTTTGGGATGGGGGAAAAAGCACTGAACTCGCGTGGCCGTCACGCTCAGATTCATAAAATTGATAAAAGTAATATTGAAAACATTTATATGTATTTGTTTGTACTTCTTTTTTATGTTAAAAGTTAAAAGTTACAGCCTATATACGTACCACTGCTGGGCACAGGCCTCCCCTCATGTCTGAGAGGGTTTTAGGACAAGGAAATGACCGCCGCGCTGCCTCAACACGTGTTGGCGGATTTCACATGTCTTCGAAATATTCTCTTTCATATTTCTCAAACGTGCAGGTTTCCTCACGATGTCCTCCATCACCGCCGAGCACATGGTAAATCAGCACTTAAAATTGCAATTAACAATTTCCTTGTGCTTGCGCACAGTTGCTTGCGCACTGCGAAATCCACAGCGAGCGCCAACCATGTGAGCTACCACGGCTCACTTTTTCTATTTTATGTGAAACAGCGCAATAAATGAAAATATTCATAGGTTGGTAAAAATTTTTTTAACAAAAAATACTTCTTATAAAAATATTTCTTAACAACGAACGTGCAGACTTCTAATTGAAATAAAGTTCATTAAATATCAAAAACAATTTTTTATAGGCCTTGGTACGGCCAGCATCCGAGTCTATCAACTGATCAGCTCCGTGGTACGATATTATCAATATTATTGCATAGTCGTCGAAGTTACATAAGTATGCCAGTTTAATCGTATAACAAATGCATCGGAAATTGATAAAACGTTTTGAAATGGAAGGACTCTACTAAACTAAACAACTCGTAAAATTAACTTTTAGAAAAAGTAAAACCTAAAAAAAAACGAATCACTTTTTTTCTGTTTACAATAAGCAGCGCATCAACTAAACGCAAAGCCGTTACGCTACTCAGCCGACGAAACCGTCTTTTATTCATTCAAAATTTGTGAAATGATTATAAATTAAAGAAATATATGGAGGACTTCCATATCACACCTATGCCGGTAGTAGTTGTGAGCACTAAGCTCGAAGTTGTTGACGGGTATACCCGTATTACGAGTAGACCCGGGACTAATAGTCCAACTTCGACGGAGAGGTAGATCGACAAATCCAACTCGGCTGGGCAACGTTCGGGAAATTACGAAACATCTTTTCGTCAGGTATACCTAAAAACCAGTTTCGTACAACCAATGCGTGTTGCCAGTGAGACTTGTGGATCTGAGACGTGGTCTTTCACTGCTGACCGTATAGGGAAACTCAAAGTCGCTCTAGGAGCTATGGAGAGGTCTATGCTCGAGGTTACTCTGCGTGATAGACTTAAAAACGAGGAAATCCGCAGTAGAACCAGAGTGACCGACATAGCCCAACGGATTACTAAGCTAAAAGTGGCAATGGGCCGGCCATACACCATATAGCTATAGAGGATAAATGAAGGTGTATATTATAGTCCACAGAATTCATTTACCTACGTCCACAAATTAATACTCTCTTTAAACTGTGCTACTACCAGGGTGTGTTCATTTATGACCTTTACTTCTAAGAAAAAACCACGTAATGTGCATAAATAAAAACGGTTTGAGAAATGTGCATGCTCAAGAAATTGGTAACAGCTCCGTATGAGAAAATACGAAATAACTATAGACAAGGATAAAATACGAGGGGTGATCCAAAAGTAATGATAATGAAAATAAAACACGGTAATTAAAGTTAAAATAATAATTAAAACTACTTTTACGGATTTTATCGCGTTTATTTTTACTTTTTATTTACCAGTTATATATTACCAGTATTATTATAGGTATATATTAACAGTCCCCCGTGACCATGGGTGCTGGAAAGCGCCCGAAATGTCGGGAATTAAAAAAAAAAGTAAATAAAAAGTAAAAATAAACGCGATAAAATCAGTAAAAGTAGTTTTAATCATGTATAGTGTTCGCATAAATATAAGAAATCATTATTAAAATAATAATTTATTTTTCTACATAGTCTCCTAAGAAATCATTACATTTAGTCCATCTTTTTTCTAAACCTAGGATTCCCTTTGAAAAAAATTCTTTGTCTTGACCCTCCCAAAACGCTTCAACAGCGGCCATTACTTCGCTATCGTCTTCGAATTTCTTGCCTGGGGGGCGTTCCTTGAGCCGAAGAAAGAGGTAGAAGTCACTAGGAGCTATCTGGCGAATAGGGAGGGTGTTCGAGCAGTTCGAATCCCGTTTCTTGAATGGCAGCCATCGCAACTGCGGCTTTGTGAGCCGGTGCGTTGTCTTGGTGACACTCCAGCACTCCAGCTCGCAGTTTGCCGCGTCTTTTTTCCTTAATGGCCTCCCGTAAT